CATCCCAAAATAAAAGGGACCTTTGATGCCCATCCATAAAAACAGGGACACATCAATCCCTGCAACCCAGGCGTGTCCTGCTCTAATTTGTTTTTCTCCTTCAGCAAGGAAAATCACACAGGTTGCAACTCATTGTGTGGTTGCAGACCCTATAAGCCCTTCATCCTGCAGCCCCTTGCACTCTTCATTTTAAGGCAGAAATACACCCTTCACTGATGTCCTATGCATCTGGAAGGGAGGAGGGAGGGGTAGGGAAGGGGATGGAGCCCGTCTTGACTTACCCCGATGGAGGTGGCAGTGGCAGCAGCTGGAGCAGGTGGTGGGGCCAAGCACTGTCCCCACAGTTTTATAGGGTGGCCCAGCCCCCAGGGGAGCGGGTGCATGCCTTCTGCCTGAAACTCCCCAACAACCAGCAGTTTTCTCCTGGAAAGCTCCCCCGACTGATTAAACAGTTCCCTCTTTCATCTCTCATGTTTTGCTTCCATGTAATACTGAGTAAGATTGAAATGATTTGGGCTACAGACATTAATTACCTTCCTTCCTATGGCCAAGGGACATTTTAGGTCTTTATGCCACCAGGCAGGAGGGTGTTTCAGCAGAATTTAGGGCAGACGTATCCCTACCTTCCTCCCAGCACAACCAATTCAGCTCCATGGTGCACCTGAGGTGAGAACAGGGATGTAAAGAACATAAAGTAATGTAAAGTTCCATGTAAGGAACATCCATCTGGAGTGAAGTCCTGTGCCAGGGATGTCAGGAAAGCTGAGGGGCTGCAGGAGTGAGGATATGAGCTATGTGGACACAGGGACTTAACCCAGCATGAGCAATTTCTCATGGGTTTGGACGCACTTAGAGTATTTTCCTTTTTTTTTTTTTATTATTCCTCACACCTGGGTATGAGTCCTGCTTGGAAGTCACATAAGATTTTTAAAAATATTTTTAAAGCAAAAAAAGTGGCTCTGAAGTCCACCCCCACAGGTGACACACACCTAAACTGGCTGATTTTGTGCAGGGAGCTGAATTTCAAGAGCCCTTCCATCCTGCTCTTCAGATAGGGTAGTAGCAGTGAGCCAGAAGGTCACAGGTGTCCTTCCTCGTGATGGAGTGACATCACCAAGACAGGGTTAATTACAGTAATTACATGCTGTGATACCAGATCACTCAACCTGCACTTAAAAGTGAATCACCTACATGGGGGGGGGCGGGGAGGGAGTTGCTGATGTGGTCTCAAGCAGGACCATGATGAACCATCATGAGCTCTAGAGGCAAGGAAAGTTTGAAAAAGTCTTTTCATTTCACACCAGCAGAGCCCAGTTGATGGCACAAACATCTCCTGCCCTGGAATAAATGCTGACAGTACCGGGACATATGTACTATGCGTGTATTAGGCTGTCAGCATCCTGTTAAAGATGTGCCTTGTGGGGTTTGGGGGGTCACTTGAGTTCTTGAGATGATTTGGCCACAATGGATCGCACAGAATGGTTCCTAGTGACTCCTCTCCACCCTGCCTGTCAGGGCAATGAAGCCTTTCCAAGGATCTGAGGCTGAGCTCAGCTATTTTTAAACATCATTCTGGAAGGGGAAAAAGGAAATCGGGCTTTCTGAGGTTCAGCAGAGGACATGGGCTTCAGAGAGAAGCAACCTGGCAACTACTGGAGTAAGACAGGATGCTGTGGGTTCATCATTCATAATCTCCTAAATGGTGACTTAGCAAGCAGGAAAAGATGAAGTTTTAGTTTAATCTTTACTGTGCTGCTTTTTGCACTACTCTTGAATAATTAATGCCACAAGTGCACCTTGGACCCACAGCCTGAGAATTAAACCCTTCTTCTACCAATCTGGTTTTCTTTCTCTTCATTAATTAATTTCCCTTATTTTTGGGGGGGATTTTTTTTGTGGGTTTTTGTTTGTTTTGTTTTGTTTTGTTTTGTTTTGTGTTTTTTTTGTTGTTGCTGTTGGGGTTTTTTTTGTTGGTTTTTTGGTTTGGTTGGTTGGTTGGTTTTTGGGGGTTTTTTTTGGTTGGTCGGTTGGGGTTTTTTGTGCCTCTGTGCACTCTCATGATTTCAGGAAAACTTCCTGAGATTACTCCCTTCCAGGCTGCCAGTTTCTGTTCACATTGGACTACCATGTCCCAGAATAATATCCATGGATGCAGTGATACTTGGGATAAATGCCATGGGCCACTCAGAGGGGGACTGTTGTCAAATATGAGCAGTTCTATGGACTGAAACAAGTAATTTTCCTAGAAGAGACAGCAGGGGAAACAAAAGGCACATGTTAAGAAATTAAAATAATCATATTTGTGTAATGATTGAATTTTTTAAAAGGAAAACAATAGGGGAAAGGCAGATATTTGGGAGATAAATAAATATTGAATTTTCAAATCCATATTCATTTCAGGAATGAGCACTTTCTGCGTGAGATGTGACTTTCTCTGGAAGAACCTCAAACCTGAGAAAATTTCACCACACCAAACATGTCAGATCCATTTTCTTAACTTTTGCACAGATCCAGGATGTGTGGCTACCTCAGCCCTGCCTCTTCCTGCAGGTAAGGACCTGAAAAACATGGTCCAGTATCAATAATCCATGTGTTTCCCTTCCTATTATCAGCCCCAGCAGCACTTTTCATTTTGATTTCCAACACCCCAAGGGCTTGATGTGTCCTAGACTGGTGGAGGGTGGGAGCTTTCCCCTGTCCTAAAATTTCTCCTGAAAGCCAAAGGCAAGAGCACACCTTGGAGCAGCAATAGACCTACCGCATCCCATCTCCAAGGAATGTCTGCATGCAATGTCTGCATCTCACCCAGGGCTTGCCTCCCAGCAGCAGAAGAGCCAGGGACCACTCCCAAGTGGCGGATGGATGAGTGGGACACCCCAGTGCCAGGAGGCAGAATCTTGATGCAGCCAGATCCAGGCATGGAGCATCCTGGCTGCCTGTGTCCTTGCCAGGTCAGACTCAGGGTGCTCCAGGGCCACTGTGTGTAGCCCAGGGAGTGGAGCCCAGCTGGTGCCACTGGGGAGAGCCAGGCTCTGGCTGCCAGGTGCTGTCCTGGGGCTGCAGATGATCCAGTTCCACGCTGCCACAGGATCCCTGTAATTACCAGGTCCCTGGGTGGGCTGATGTCCCACAGCACCACCCCTCATCACCGCTCACCAGGACTGGGACATGTGTGTGCCAGGGCAGGGTTGAAGGGTGTCCCAAGGGAATCAGTGGGGATTCTCTCCTGGCTGTCTGTGTCCTGCAAGTCCCAGGTCCCATCTTGTGACCCAATCTCCCTGCCATGTACTGCCATACCCCTGCACCCACCACCCCAGCCCATTTCACCATCTCCAGCTGCAAGTTGGTCTCTCTTCAGGGCTGGACCCAAACCTATGCATTTTTCCCAGGAAACCTCCCACAGATTCCTTGGAGGGCACCTGGATGTCCAGGCAGGGACATCCCCCTTTCCTGGGGTGGCAGAGCTTGACGAGCAGCACAGCATGTCATGGCAGTGGAATGGGATGGGGCCAGTATTTCCCTGCAGCCTGGTCATGGTTTCTGGCTCAGGAGATGCTGATGGAGGGAAGCAGCTCCACACTGGTCCCCAGGCATATCTCCCCAAGGCATGGGAAGGAAATGTAGCCAAAGGGAAGGTCAAAAAGGTAAGCTAAGCCTGAGCATCCTCACCTTGCCTTGAAGCCATGGCATTGCTTGGCCACATCCTCATCAGTGGAGAGGAGTAGAGGGGAGAAGGGAAGGCAAGACTGGCATGATGCCTTTTCCCCGTGTGCCTCAAAGCACAGACACTGCCAAATGCAGGGCTTTCCTCTCTGCAAGACCACCGAGATTCCAGGGGCAGTTTTACCTCTTTCCTCTTCATCTTGCCATAGATCACAGTCTCCTGTCTTCAGGAATCTCTACTGTGAGCACTGCTCCAGGCACAGGGGGCAGCTGCCAGTGCACAGCAGCTCTGCCATCCCCAGAACAAGCACCTCTGGGACATGACAGAGGGTGGCTTTTGGATCTCATCAGCATCCCTGGCAATGTCCAGAGGTGCCCAGTCCTGGTGCCCTTCCCTGACTACAGTTCAGTGCCCCTGTAAAAAAAGGTGATGGGATGGCAGGAGAGGCCAGCAGGTGGGCTCAGGCATTGCTCAGAAGGGCCATGCCAGTCCCTGAACCACCAGGAGCAGGTTCAGCCCGCCAAAGCAGCAGTACAGGGGTAGATATGATGAGTGTTCGACACAGCACAGCAAAACATGAAGAGCAGGAGGATACTGGGCAGGCTGTGCCAAAAGACTTGCTCTACGAGAGGGGGTTCCCAGGGGACCCGACGAGGGTGGGATTCGAACCCACGCGTGCAGAGCACAATGGATTAGCAGTCCATCGCCTTAACCACTCGGCCACCTCGTCCCCCGTGCCAGTCTGACTTTTTTTAGCAGAATTTTTTTCAGCGGTTTTTTTGCCCTTTTTTCTCCCACAGACATCAATACTAGAGTTACTTCTTCAGGATGTCCTTCGGTGTGCAAGGCTGGGCAAGGCAGAGCCCTGGCAGCCTCTGTCACAGCGGGGCAGGGAGACAAGCAAGCATTTGCGATTAATTTGCCCCTCTCCGTTTCTTTCTGTGTTCATAGGGTGGCAAAGGGTAATGTGGCATTTATTGTTGGCATGAAAAGATGTGCACCAGGCATCTCCATTACTCACCCACACCCAGCCTGTGTCCAGACAGTTTTTCCTACATGATTCAGCACTGGTTGTGCAAAGTAATAGGGAACATGGTGGGCATCCAGACAGCATCTAATGTATCTCTCACTTCCCCGATCCTCTGGTTTCTGAAAACAGTTCAGGCTATCTCTCCAATGTGAGGAGAGAAGGGAGAGGAAGCAGAAGGAAACATTTTACTCCCAGAGTAGAGTAACAGGGGACAGAACACTGGGACTGACAGTGCCCAGAGCAGGACAAAGACCCCTAGCAGTGCCCCCAGTTTGGGACAGGGAAGAAAAATATACCCCTTGACTGAGGCACCACTGGGAGTTGAACCCAGGATCTCCTGTTTACTAGACAGGCGCTTTGACCAACTGAGCCATGGTGCCCACCAGTCCTTCTTGCACTGGGTGCTCCTTAAAATACCTGACCCTCTGCCCACATGAGCCATGGTGCCCACTGGTCCTTCTTACACTGGGTGCTCCTTAAAATACCTGACCCTCTGCCCACATATCCCACACTGTTGCCCCAGGTTTGGGGTACCCCAGCTGCAGCTACTCCCATCTCTTTTTGCTGCTGGGAACCCTCCCAGTGCTGACCCAAGGCCCTGGCACAGGGAGCCCAACACATCCCGTAAGCAGGACCAGCTGGGTTTGGGGGTCCCTAGACCTTACAGGGACATGCTGCCCCCTTCCCTTGCTCTGGCAGATCTGTGCCAGCTGCCACCCTACACTGCCCTGAGGTGACATCCTCAGTCTCATCTCCCTCTCTGGCTGCTATCCCCCAGCACCAAAGGTCATCCAAAGGCAATGTTCACCCCATGTCGCACTATATTAGGAACAGCGATAAACACGACATGACTCTCTTAGCTGCATTGTCCAAGAGAGCAAAGTTTATTATTCTTGATCTTCTTTTATAGATATGTTTGAGAAGGTCTGAGAGGTAAAACTCTCATTGGTTGTTAAAGCAACGCGTCACCATTATTGGTTAAGTGGAACAACACCCACTGAATGTTTCTTGCAAGTAAATCCTAAACAACACCTGCAAACATTGTTGTCCTTTACCAAAGACCGCTTGGATTCTTTCTTATGCTTTCTCAGGCCAGAGTGAGAAGCCTGTGTAACTTAGTTTCAGACAGGCTCTGTGCTCCCTGCCTGCTTTCAGCATCCATAACCCCAAGAGACACTGTCAGCCTCACAGGGAAGGAACACCGGGTATCTCCACACCCTGCAGCACCTGGGTAGGGAGTGAAATCTCTGCGGGCATTTCCTCGCCGACTGCTTTGGCGTGCCAGGAGGCAATTCCACATCCACAGGCAGTCCCCGAGATTTTCTGGGGGGGATCTGGGGGGTGTTTGGCTGCCCCGCATGCATCAGAGAGGGGTGTGGAGAGGCAAAAGGACATGGAGATGCTGGGGGTTGATCCCAGGGCCTCTTGCATGCAAAGCAAGCGCTCTCCCGCTGAGCTACATCCCCCGCCCCGCCACAACCTCTGCGCTGGCGTTCTCCTTGCTCCGGGACAATCTCTGTGTGTGCTGCGTTCGCCTGCCGCTCAGACTCGGGAAAAGGGGTTCAAGCACTTGAGGATCCCTTAGGTGTCACTGGGCTGGTGAGGGGGATGGAATAGGGGGAATACTTGTGGGGCAGAGCAGGGAGGTTATTTTCCAGGCACAGAGGCCATGTAAGGGGCCGAGTGTAGATGGGCCGCGGCCGTGTCGGCCGGCTGCAGTGCCGGCCGGGGCGGAGGTGGTGAGCGGGAATGTGAGGGCATGTTTGCGGTGCGCTTGAGTTGCGGCGGTGGTGAGCAGCGGGTGTGGAAAAAGAGGGCTCGTCCGGGATTTGAACCCGGGACCTCTCGCACCCTAAGCGAGAATCATACCCCTAGACCAACGAGCCGGGGTGCACTACCCCTCCCGCGCCCCGCCCTCGCCCGGGCCCGCCAAAACGCTGCGCCGACGCTGCTGCCCGGGGACCCCGGCCCGGCGCCGCTCCCTGCGCACGGCCTGCGCCCGCAGCCCCGCCGGGACATCCGCGGCATCAGCGCTGCGAACATGGCCCGGACATCCCGGACATCCGCACCCCCGGACATTGCCCCGCACCCCGCTCCACTGCCCGCCGCGGCGCGGCGCTGCCCGCACGGCTCTTCCCCCTTCGCCCTCAGCACCGCGCCTGTGATGGCCGAGGGGTGAAGGTGTTGGACTCCAAATCCAATAGGAAATCCAATAGGGGTTCTCCCTGAAGGTTCGAATCCTGCTCATAGCCATGGGTTTTACCTGCCTAGCTGGGAGTTCATCCCCCCCCTTGGTGTTCACGGTGTCTTACCCTTCTGCTGTCAAGGAATAGGCAGCATCTTAGGGTAGGGAGCATGGACCACTGACTGTGGGGTCAGGGCAAAACCTCCCATCCCAGAGGGCAGGGAGCAGTGGGAGAAGTTGGGCACCCCGGGCTATTTCCTTTTACCCATGGGGCAGGTGGGACCTACACACCACTGCCCAGGGGAGTGGGGCCAAGATGCCAAACAATCCAGGTTTGGGGTGTGTTTCTGCCTTCAGGTATGAGGAGACGTGGGTCTCACTCCCAGAGGAATCGTCCCTTTGGTCAGAGCCTGTCTTGTTTTTCTGTGGAGGTACAGAGCGCTCTGGGGTCTTCCCGTTGTTCTCCTCCAGTCTCTTCAGGTTGGGGCTGGGCAGGATAAGTGGGGCAGCTTTGGGGGAGGCTGGCACGGGGTGTGGGCACCCACTGTGCACCACTGCTGTGTCCCATCCCCCTGTTTCCCCCCCCCCAACTCCTGGGTCTGCCACACCCTCAGGCAGCACCAGCACTTTTTGGGGGTGTCTGTGGGACTCTGCCAGCCCCACATGCAACAGGGGGTTGTCTAGAGAGGCAAAAGGACATGGAGATGCTGGGGGTTGTTAATCTCAGGGCCTCTTGCATGCAAAGCAAGCACTCTCCTGCTGAGATACATGCCCCTGTGTGAGGGCAGAGTGGTGCTCAAGGGTCCCTCCTGTCTTCATGGTCCACCTGCCCTTGTGGCTGCTGGATCTAGGGAAGTTATGCACCATGGACACCTCCAAATGCTGGCCCCACCTCCTGGGCAACACAAGATGGATTTCCTTGTTCCAGCCTGTGCTAAGGGGCAAAAGGCAGCATCAGCCACCCTCCTCAACTCCCAGAATTGTGGGGCATGGATCTGGGACATGAATCTCATTTAAAATGTGAGAGGTCATGGATTCAGCTCTAGGATGAGCTCACCTTTTTTGGCACCTGCCTTCTTTGGCTGGTACATGGGACTGTGGCATAACCAAGGCTCTGGCACAGAGGGCTGGGTGCCCCTTCCTGGCTGAGTGGGCAGGATGGAGCCCCAGGGCTGGCAAGGTGTGCTCCAGGGATGAGGGGACCCAGCACAGAGGCCCTCTCCCTGCCTTTCACAGGGGAATGTAGCTCAGCGGGAGAGCGCTTGCTTTGCATGTACGAGGCCCTGGGATCAGCTCCCAGTATCTCCATGTCCTTTTTGCCCCTCCAAGAGCTGCTGTATCCTTGGGCATCCTTGGAGGATGCTTCCTAGTGCTGCCTGCTTTGTGACCAAGGCACCTGAATTTTTTCCAGCCATCAGTAAATATCCCTTCAAGTTCCCTTTTCTGAACCCTCCAGGTGTGGGTGCTGGGGCTGAGCAGAGCCCCACACCAGGCTGGGAGATGGCATAACCTGAGGCAAAGTGGTATGTCCCCAGTTGTCGCCACCTTGGGGAGGGACACCAGTGGCTGTGATGGCCGAGGGGTGAAGGCGTTGGACTTGAAATCCAATAGGGATTTCCCTGCGCAGGTTCGAATCCTGCTCACAGCGACAGGTTTTACCCACGGCTGGAAGGGGTGGGGTGCCCTTCCCTCAGGATTTTGATCCCTGGAGACCAGTGGACAGAGAAAGGGCAGTACTCTTGCACTGACTGGGCACTGGTGGGCTTGTGGACTCTAGGCTCAACTCCTGGATTACCCCTCCTTTTTGGTACCTGTGGCCAGGCATGGCCTCTGATAGGCATAGGCAGCCTCCCTAGCTGGGCGGCCCCCGGGCAGGGATGGTCCCATCATGGTGTTGCCCAGTGCCTGTGAGCACAGGCACAGCTCAGCCATGGCCAGAGCTGGTCCCCTTCTGGGTTGGGAAGGAGCTGTCAGGGCAGTGGGGAATGGCTGAGTGGGGGTTATGCTATCACTGCAGCCTCAGGGGGAGGCTCTGCCATGGTGCATCCCTCATCTTTGTGGAGCCCTTCCAGATGTAGATGCAAGTTTATCATCACTGGCCCGTGGAGAAGGTAGGTTTGAGGAGGGAAAAAAAGCTGGAGATGCTGGGGGTTGAACCCAGGGCCTCTTACATGCGAAGCAAGCGCTCTCCCGCTGAGCTACATCCCCTGCCTGAGTCGCCAGCACCTGGGGGCTCTGCTGACCCCCCTGTTCCTCATGGCCCCATTTTAAAACCAGGCAGGTGCAGCCCACAGCCATGCTGTGCTGGGCAGAGTGGGAGCTTCAGATGAAGTTTCGAAACTCACACTGAATCATGACATGCAGAGAAGAACCCCTGGCTTTCTGAACTTTTCAGAAAGGAGCCTGTGTGTGGCTGGATCCAACCTTAGCCCCAGAGTTTGTCAGCGGTTTGTCTCCATTGTATAGGTGTAGTAGAGGCTTTATACAGCTTTATCCTGCAGGATTAAAAATAAAGCAGATATACAAATATATATCATTTATTATTATGATTAGACAACAAAGATTTTAATCAGAATTATTTACTACACAATATAGGTGCTATAACAACTATTACAATATAGTGCATTGTGAAGGAATATTGAAGCAATTATATTAAAGCAAATGTATTAAAGCTACCAAAACAAATTATTAAGAAGAGGTTGATACTTCCCACCCAGACCAGTAACTGGGGGCAAATCTCTTTGGTTCTGCGTTAAGAAGAGACCTTGAGGAATGTCCCTACTCCAGGGGGGAATCTCCACACATACACTTCAAGAAAGGATCTGTCAGAAAACCCTGCCATTCAAATTTGGGACTTTTATGGTATAAAAGGATGGACTATGAGTCAGATAAGTCCAGACCAGCTGTAGCAGCTCAACAGCTTTAGTAAAGTTACCAGTAACATTACTTGTTTGTTCCCTTATCTTTACCTAGATCTGGTATTTTACCAGATCTACTATATCTTCATCTCACCATCAGGATGTTTAAATTTGGGATTGATGAGTCAGGCTGGTTTCAGCTGTATTCAACACCAAAGGCAGCATGACCCCTTTTTCTTTGTTTAACACTAATAGTTTGGGAAATGGAGCGTTGTTTGAGTTGTTTCCTCCATTCCTGCTACATATGCCGAGGTGACATCCCTACAGTCAGTGCTCT